ACAACTTCCTCACTTCACCATCATAATGATATTTCTCATTGTGCGTGAACATTCCATGATCTGATGTGATTCATTAACCAGTGAATTTCCACAATCAAATATTTTAAGGATTTCATTTTTACCCATCTTGGTAGAATCCTGGGGTTGTGCATTGTCACATATTAAATGGCACCTGATTTCAGGTTTTTCAATCAGTTTGGGATCCAGTTATTTTGTGAAAAAAGTGTTGAGTGGAACCAGGCTATAGGACTGAGGCTACTCAGGCAAAAGCCTGATGACAGCTCAATGAAAGGGTGATCAAGAATGTAATGTATTTGGATTCAATGATCAGAAAAAAGCATGAGAATGAGAGCCTAAATACAAGCTGATTTTTGGTAGAAGCATACCCTAGCTATAAGCATCTCAACACACTAGAAACCAAACTAGGTCCAAGAAAACAGGCTATAAGAATATTTAATAGACTGTAGTAGTGATTAAGAGAGAAAAGATTGTAAAAGAAGAAAAGTAGCATACCACAATGACAGTTGAATTTCACAGGAAGCAAAACAGACAGACTGGAGTAGATTTTATTGAAGAGGGACAAGTTCTACATGCTATGAAAGAGATTAACAAACATGATCAAAGATTCAAAAAAGGAACAAAAAATATAAGTCAATACACCATGAATGCTGTAATGTCATTTACTTGCAAGTGAAGTCAACAACTCTCCAGATGAAGCTACCCCTTTGTTGACTCAGTACATTTTTGCACAGCAGCTGGTCAAAATGCACAGTCACTGTGCAGCAAAGATTGACTGTGCTTACCCAGAGCTTGGACAGATCTTGGGTGAGCCTGATTATGATTTCACCTGTCAAGCAATTACATCACTTCTTTTTCATGGTGATACACCAAATTGTAGCCAGGTGAGAATGCTGAGAGAGATTCAGAATAATTAGATGGGAGATGGGATGAAGATTGATATGAGTAGATATTGAGATTTTGTCAAGATGCATGAAATTGTTTGATGAGGGAGAATGGGGTCAGGAGATATAGAAGAGTAGAAGTAATGAAACCAGAAGCAGAAGGCGAAACCTGATGAGAGGAATATTCAGTTGGTGAAATTTGAGGAGCAAAGGCCAAGCAGAAGAGGCTGAGAGCATCTACATCAGTGTACAGATTAGGTACGATTAGTACGATTAGCTGCCTAATCTAATCTAATCCTCCCAACCACAATGGTTGGGATTAGAGATTGAATTCAAGTAGCTCGAGATTTATACCTGGCTAATTCTGGTATTGGCACGCTTGCTGATCCTCACTAATATGCTCACCTAATGTGGATGCTCTGATAGATATGGAAGTGATAAATATATCAATGAGAGAAGAAGCTGCTGAGGATGAAGAAAGGGTGTTGAGTTGAAAAGTATCTGTACCTGATTTGATATGGGTAGAGCCAAGCCAAGACAATCCAAGATAAGATGAGAAAAACAGGGGAAGGTAAAAAGTATGGGAAGGAAAAGTGAAGGGAACAGAGAGGTGATGATAAGAAATTGAAAGTGAGAGCAGAAGAGAGTGAGCTGAGAATGGCAATAGCAGATAGCAAGTGGCAGGCAAGGGAAATTCCAACAACTTGTTTGTGCTTTTGGAACATAGGAACATTCACAGAGGAACAATGGTCTTCACTGATTTGGTAGCCCTTCTGACTCTCTAGGCACAAGCTGCTTTGCTCACAACCTACTTGAGTGGTCAAGGATAATTTGAGTTTGCTTTCCCAAAGAGCTTCAGAGGTGAATCCTGCTTGGGTGAATATTATAAAACAAACCTGAATTTGATTTTCACCAAATGCTGTACAAGCATACCTGTGATTCTGTGATAAAAAAAATCTTGATAGAAACAAAAGCTAAAAAAAGGGGGAAATTACAAAAGAAAACTTCAAACATTTGGAACATGTATGTAGACCACAAAGGCACAATAGGTGTGAACCATCCCGAAGTAACAAGCATTTAATCACTTCTTGCATTGGGGAGTGATCAGAACTTGACCACGTCCTGGCGTGAAGTGCCAGCTGCGAGAGGACCCAGGCAACCCCCTATAGAGGTGCCTAACCAAAAATCCAAGATTTTGCCAAAATTCCTACATTTCTGAAAGCCATTCATACATGTTTCGTGCCTACCCTCCTGCTGAGGGGGGGGGGGGGGGCCGAGCCCTATAAATTCCAATCCTCCAGCAACCTCCATTTGCCTTTTGCCTTTTTTGCTGCCAAAAGTTAGCTTTTTGTGCCTTTTTGAGGTGCTTAACAAGTTGTATCCATCAATTTCACACAGGAAAAAGCAAAAAACCCAAAAAGAGAAGGAAAATTTTCCAAAATTTTGATAATTGTACATCATTCATACACTCTTATAGGTTAGTACCCTACATATGAGGATAAAAAAGCCATTCATGCATTTTTGGTGTGTATCATTTTGAATTTTTGGCCAGAAATTCCTACATTTTGGTTAGGCACCTATATAGGGGGTTGCCTGGGTCCTGCTTCGAGGAATTAACTTCGGAGGGAACGATGGTTTAGACATACATGTTGCATCGGGTTCCAACAATCATGATGGGTCAGGAGGGGTCGGGACAACGCCTCGGAATAATCGGTGAAGTAGGATGCCGGCGGTCTGCTTCCTGTTAAGATAAACAGACCCAACAGACCCAACTCGATCACGGTATGTGTCCAAACACACAGCAGATGCGGATGGTTTGACAAGGCCAGGCATGTGCGACAAATGTAATGAGGGTAGTTCTTTATAGTTTACATTTTTTGAAAGTTGCAACTCTTTGTTTCAAATCATAACAACATTTAAAAATAGAGCCGATTATCATAAATTTTGAAGGTTGGGAGAAGTACAGAACAAGAAGCAAACACAAAGATAAGAGTCGAAAGAAAGTTGGAACGATCAGACTTCCTGGGAAACCTTGGATGCTTTGTCTTTTGACTTGGCTGGGAGCAGCTCGGAGTGAACTGTAGACGAAGAAGGAAGTCAGAAGATGTGGAGGGTGTAATGGGAGGATGTATGCTTGTTTGAGACTTACTCTGTGGAATAACACCACCCTGTGAGATAACACAGTGACCGAGGAGCTTGTTCAATTCTTCGTCGTTCTGAGATAGGGAAGAAAGTCAGCTAAGGCAACGATCAAGATCCTTTAGTGAAAAAAGAGCTTACTCGGATGGCAAGTTGTAGATGACGGGGGATGATTCGAGATTTCTTGTTATCCCGAGCAGCGTTTCCGGCCAATTCAAGAATTTCAGCAGCCAGGTATTCCAGAACGGCGGCGAGGTAGACTGCAATCAATCAAAAACAAGTGGGTTAGCAAGATCGAGCGGCTGTTTGGATGAGCATTTAAGGTCAACTAACCAGGTGCACCAGCTCCAACTCGCTGGGCATAGTTGCCCTTTCGGAGTAGTCGGTGGATACGACCGACAGGGAATTGAAGACCGGCCTTGGACGAACGAGATTGGCTGGCAGCTTTCTCGCCACCGGCTTTGCCTCCTTTGCCTCCTGACATTGTTGTGTGTGTTGGTTTTTGGGTGGGGTGGGTTTGGTTGGTTGGTTGGTTGGTGAGGTGGTTTTTGTGTTGATGGTTGAGCTTGGAGGTGGGATGGTCTCCGGTTGAAGGGGAGGGTGTTTATATACTCTTGGGACATCCCAGGGGAAGCCCCCGTGACAGTCCCCAGTTGCAGGACTTGGCCGCCGGCTGGCTGACTTCAGGCGCGTCTTGAATTCGGACCACGCTCCCCGCAGTTCCCGCCCAGACGCGATCGAGCACTCTGATTGGTCAGACTCGCCGGATCGACCACCCGCCGCGTGAACTCAGCACAACCGCCAACCCCCAATAAAGGAGAAGCACAAGAACTCCTCGCCATGGAGCACCCGACCTACCACAACTCACCACCAACCTCAGCAGAAGATGTCGACAAGCGAACCCATGCCCGGAGGAAGTGACTGCCTGATCAAATTCGGATCTCGGGCCGACTACAACCGCTTCGTTGGCCAACTGCGCTCTCAACTCCGCTCGTATCTGATCACCTCATGTCAAGAAAACAATATCGAAATCGGCAGCCCGGACTACCTGGCCGTCGAATCCGTCCTCATGGATGTGCGTACTTGCTCTGTTTTTTTTTTTTTTGATGCAGGAACAGTCTGTTCTGACCAGTTTGTCTACTTTCAGGTATTCATGAAATATACGCTCGAATTTATTAGGGAAAATCTTCTCGTGGATGGCCGTCCTCTTACACCCCCGCCAGAGTTTTCTGAGCCATCTCGACGGGTCAATGGGACCGGATCAGCAGACCAGCCCAACAGCCATCACAATCGGTCGAATAGCAGTCGAAGCAAGGAGCCCAAACCACCTCGGACGAGGCCATGCGATACGGCGCTGAACGAACGAGTGATCCGACAGCAGTATGCCCTCTATGACGCTGCGGTTGAGAACACCCGGAAGCGGAAAGACCTTCCAGGCCACATCGTCCAACGCATCGAGGCCGCTGCCGAACAATCTACCAAACACTTGCACTCCCAGACCAAAGAGGTCGATCAGCTCGAAGCTACTAGAGCCGAAGAAGCCGCTAATGACCCTCGGCAGAGGTGGGACGTCTTGAATGGTAAATCAATCATCGCTCTTGCTCCTTTGCTCCACATCTGACTTTTCTCTCCTCTGTCTTCCAGCTGAGCCGCCCAATATCCAAGAAACACAACAAGATTTCACTGGTGCTAATCAAGCTATCTGTAAACTGATCCAAGTGAGCCGAAATCAACATTTTCAAGCCTCCCATTACATATACTGACCCTGCCCCTCTTTCTCACTTAGTCCCTGCCTCAATTAATCCAAACTGCCTCTCGAGCCATCAACTTACACGACGAAGTAGCAAACGCATTGAAATCCGCTTGACTTACATCCATCTTCAAACGTACTTGTACCTATTTAACCTAGACTTCGTTCTTTCTCTTGTTGTTTTTGATATTCACTTTACAGCTCCTCTCATGTACGCTTTTCTTGTGATTGTTTTCATCAGTGATTTGTCTACCAGCACATGTATTTCTATCAATCAGTAGACAAATTCAGACCAATTTAGAATGACCCTGGGAACTGTACGTCTGGTTATCTCGCCGGAACACGGTATGTGTGTGTTCATGACTTTTGCGTTTGGTGTGGACTTCAGGAAACATGCATGTCAACTGTCAACATTTCATGCTACCGATTTTTTTGATCCACCTGACATGCAGGCAAAATGTGCATCAATTTGTATTAATATCATCCCGTCTTTGACACGACAATGGCGTTTCCTGTAGACCTTGCAAAATCTCAAATCAGATCAATCCGGCCGCGGACAATAAGATTTTCAGTTATCCTGAATGTGCTTCTTAACATGTCAAACTGAGGCTTTAAAGCTGAACTCCAAAATCCAAGTTTTTTGGATTTCACACAAGGTAACATGCTTGCTTGGGTCCTCACTACCGACGCAATTTTGATATTAATAATTGTATGAGAAGAAGGAATATGGACTCATTTGGATAATACTCACAGGTGAACTTGTGAGCAAAGCCGTTACCATATCCTAGGAAGTATATTGATCCATGGAAGTTTTGAAATAGATTGCTGAGAAGGCTGAAAATGAATGTTTACAGGTTCCAGGAATTTCATCCCGCACAGACAAACAGGACATCATTTTGATTATGATCATAATCATGACCTCATAAAAGCACATTCTGTGTACATTCACATCTCTCCAAAAAAGAGAGTACCGGGGGGTTCAGGTACAAAGCCCATCTACTCAGGGAGGGGAAGAGCCTGAGCTGTGAGTAAAACCCCCATCTCAACCCAATTGTGAGTTCAGATTCTCCGTGTGGCATTTACAAATTGATCAAGCTAAACCATCTTCTTCCAGTTTGTGACAAGGGTGCATAAGAACCAGGTTGTTCTAAGTATATCAGCACGTGAGTATGTTCTAAGGTACAACAAGTAACAACGGGAGGTCCACCAGCCTAACAAACAGATCTCATTTGCTGGCATACCTAACGTGTGGCGTAATGATGTGCCACCAACCCTCAAGGAGTGGTCTAAAAGCCGCTGTTCCCTGTTTGCTGACAGCACCTCTTGATGGGTGTGTTGGGCTGCAGAAAGGTGTCAGCAACCCTTGTAGGACACCGACTGGTGTCCTGTATGGGTTGCTGAACTAATCTGGTTGCTTTGTTGAGGGTGGAGGGAACCCTCCAGCCTTTGAGACAATGTAAAGTCTTGACGGATTCCTCCAGTCATTGAGATGGATTTCTGGGTATATTTGCCTGCAAAAAAACCTCCACACCCGCAGGTACCCGCCCTAGCAGACCTGGCGGGTGTCAGGATGCAAGTGGGTTGGGTCAACCCGCGGGATACCCGCAACCTGGCGGGTCACAGGCGGGTTTGAGCAGGCTAGGATTGGAAATGGACCTGACCTGGATTTAACCCAACGGGTCGGTGGGGTGGGTATGAGCAGGACAGAATGTATTTGGGTCGGCTTGAGATTGACCAACTTACTCAATTGAAAAGGAAGAAAGTGATTATTTTCTGGTTTGACCCAACCTGACCCAACCCAAGGCACAATGTATTTGGGCCGGGTTCGGTCAACATTTTACAATTTTTTCCCCAAGGATTTGGTGGAGCGGGTTTGGTCACCGTTTTTTGACCCAAACCTAGCCCACTTGCATCCTGAGGCGGGTGGGGGTGTCCAAAATATTGGATTTTTGAGGCAGGTACCCACACCCGCTACCAGTACCCGGGTATGAAGCAACATCTCTATTTGATATACCCCTGATTCCATTCAAATTATGCCCTAGGAGGCTGAATTAGTACTAATTACTCATACTACAAACTATCAGCTTCTTTGATGAAGAGTTGAAACATCAAACACACCTTTTTCTGACCAACTTGGTAATTTAACATTTGCATTTTTCCAGAAAAGACAAACTAAATAAGTGGGGTTTTCTCTTAAACTTCTTAACTTTTGTGGGTCCAAATGCTCTACTGGAATCCAGGAATCAATCCACAAAATGTATGGTGAGAAATGCATAATTTGCATAGTTTAGTTTGGACATGATGCACAAGAATTTAATTTCTTATATGTTTTTGTTTGAATTACTGGTTTCTTTAGGAGGAAATTTCCGCCAATACATCTTCAGTTTGCTTGCAGCCCTTGTTTGCAAATATCTAAAATCAACCAAAGTGCTGGTATCCCTTTCATGTGAATTGTATGAACACTTGGAGTGATGGGAGAGGTGAGGCAAATTCTAGATTAACAGATTGTCAAGCTCATCATTTAACCCTGTAAGATATAATTTTTAAAAATGCAAACAGAAGCTCAACCAAGCATCCAAGACTCCATCACTACAAGAAAAAAACTTAAAACTGTATCAACACTAGGAGGTTACGTTTTCAGTAACGAAAAATAACGATAATGTAACTTAAAATTTTCCGTTTTTGTTGAAGTTTCTTGTAACGGGTTTTCCGTTGTGTTACTAATTTTTTTTTGTTTTTTATTTTCCCTCATGCTACGTTACTCAGTGAGATTTTTTTTCTATTCATGGAACAGTTACATTATCAAATATTTTCATAGATAACTAAGGAGATAACGGTAGAGAAAGTGCAATATTGATTTCAGGGCTTCACAAATGAATGCCTATAGATGCTGGCATTATCAGATATAAAAAATCATTTTATTTTTGGGACAACAAGCTTGGAAATCACATCAAATTCTCCCGTGAGAGGAACCCCCTCACGTAGCCACATCAAGCTTCTCACACTATGTGACATTGTTTTAGGAAGCATGCTACCGCCTGAATACAGTCTGTATTCAGTTGAAATGTGATTTGACAAATGTGCCTTTGTGATATGACATGTCAACTGTAAACAGTTGCCCAACTTTTTATTGCAGTGCATCCAAGACTGGAATCTACAGGTAATCAATCTCATCAATTTTAGTTGAGTCCGCAAAAGACATTGTAAGCTTACCTGATATCATCTGCTGGGATGAGACTCACAATCAGAAACATGTGTTAGGTACCATTCAAAAGACACTGCTTATGTCAGCCACCCACAATTGGCAAAAATTATATTTTCCTGTAGAACATTTGATTACCGCTGGGCAAGGTCTCATAGCTCACACAGAGGAACCCCATCAAGGTAGCTCCAATGAAAGGAAACATTTACAGCTCCTTGTGCTATTGGTCAAATAAGCATCTGTAAATTGATTTACAATTTTCTTTTCTGACAGAGTATTTGAGTAGAACTATACCATGAATGATTACAAGTTGCATGAAAATCTCAAAAAACCTGTCCAATTAGGAAAAATTACATAATTGAATCTCAAAATTTTTGCAAATGCACAAAGCTTATCAATTCATTTGTATTTTTTTCATACCAGGCAAATAATGAAGCCATATGTGTAGCTGAAGGTTTCTTTGTCTTGTTATATGATTGATAGCTAGGCTCAAATGGTAACTAATTCAAACCAAGAAGTGAAATCATTGGTGTAGGATGAGTTATTTGTATCTCAAACAAAAATTCTTGAGTAGAAGGTCTTGGATTGGCAGCATAGGAAGTAAATACCTGGTCACAGAGCACACCGCAGGGAGATAGAGTCACAGGCTGACAGATACCCAGGTATTACCATGCCCCAAGCCACTCCTCAAGTAAACACACCTTCTAGCCATACCCAATAGCTGAGGGTATGTTGTGGGCAGCCCAAGTGTTGCCTAATGCCCTTGGGTTGGGGCACCAGGTAAATTGAAATTTGTGAGTTACCCAGTGGGGTCCACCAATTCCCAGACACCAGTGTAGTGTATCAAACTTTGGTAAGCCTCATCCTGAGTCCTGAACCCTGGGGTTTAGATTCAGGAAATACCCCGAACCTCATGGGTTGGGACAATTCCTTAGGTTGCCTTGGCTTTAGGGGAAGTAGTGGGTCTGAAAGTGGAAGGGAGTTCCAAAACAAAGGAAATTTCTACAAGCTTGGATCTTGATCAACAAATATACATACAAAAGAGTTATAAATTGAAAGTAGAGTAGTAAAAAAACCCTCTGAAGTCTTAGTCAAACAATTACCAAGATGTAGCCAAATCAATTTTGGGAGTTGTTTGACCAGGTCAATGATTTTCCACCTGCACAAATCCCAAATCTGACAAGTCTAATGTCAGATTTGATGAATTGACTCCAATTTGATCTCATCATTTTTTATTCAACTGGTCAATTTCAAACAACTCCCAAAATTGATGTCTACTACATCCTGGGAGTTGTTTGACTAAGAATTGGGAGTTTTTTCCATTAACATAAAATTATTGTAGTGTATCCAGAAAGTAAGCCAATGTGCACACACATATATAAATTAGCTGGCTTGATAGTGTGCACTTCTCAATCTAATTATCAATTTTAAAAGAAAATTCAACAACCTGGCATTAATCCTCTAGCCATTTGGAATGTCTCCCTCCACACATGAGCTTGGACCACATTTCCTTCCATCGCCTCTATGGCAACCACTATGAATTTTTTTTTGTGATGATGTGGATGTGCTGTGTTTCATTGACATCCTAGCATTTAAAAAAGGACTGTGCTAGAAAGCAATTTAATTGTTGAGAACCTGTGAGTTGTGACCCAACACTCAATGGGTGATGCTATAACCACTCTGCTGTGCTCATCTCTATGAGCAGAGACCAATTTTATGCTTCTGAAATTGCAATGCCATGATATGACCATGACCAGGTTTATAAGTTTTGGGTGTCAAGCTGCATAAAAGAAGATTGTAATATAGAAGCAAAACTGAACTCCAACTCTTTCAGTATTGTTGACCAACAGAGATCAGGTCTCATGTTAACCCTCAGCATCAATCTTGAACTCTGTTAATTTAAACCCACATTCTCTGTCAGCTATGTGTATGAAACTCTGGCTTAATTAATATAAAAGCCAGGTACTATCACTGTGCTGAAGGACTAATTTCAAGACCAAGATTACTCCTAGTCACCCTCAAACTATTAAGTGGTCCAAACTTCCCACTTAAGAGGTTCTAAGTCCACACTCCTCAGTTAATGACACTTTGAATAATCAAAGGAGCACTGTAGGAGACAATAACAGAATATGTTATTGCAAGTTGTTTGGAAGCAATATTCAGTATTTCAAGAAAGGCTACAGTCAGAGGTGGTGGCCTTGCAGCAACTACTTTTCAAGGAATTAGTAAGAAGAGAATCTGGGATAATTCTAAGCTTCTTAATAATAAATTCCAGTAAGAAGGTAGGTTGGATCAGAGAAAAGACTACTCTAGTAGTAGGGGGAGAATATTCACTGTAGTTACTAGTATTACTCACTTAGTTTGTTGGGGATGAATATTCTGAGGAACCAATCCTAGGCAGTAGAAGGCCTCCTCAAATATTCTAGAGGTCCCCTTGAGGCCCATATTGGAATATTTTAGAATCTCTCTTTAGTGTACTATGGTAGAATTATTCCCCCTGATGTAATGGGAATAATTCAAGGTATTTCAAATAAAGTATATTTGAAGTTCATGATGCATATTTATAGCCAATCACATCATGTTTCTTCTTAAGATAGAATGATACTAGTAGAAATTGCCCTACTCTTGACATAGTGTGATAATTTTCCTTTTACAAGTTTAAATAATTGATTATACTTGTAGAACAAAATTTCCAAGGTTACCTTAAATGTATATTTAACCCTAATTTAATATACATTAATTTTATTCTGTAGATTTGTATATTTTATTCCTTTTGTTCTTCAAGGTCTTGAATTTATACAAAGTCCTTGAAGGAGTAGGAATTTGGGGATACTTCCAGCGGGCAACCCCATTTGTAATCTTATGAAATATTGTTTTATTAAATAATATTCTTAGATATGTTTCATCTTTTATTACATATTACATATTACATATTTATTATTTCTAGATATGTTACATCTTTTATTACATATTACATATTAAATATTAAATATTTATTGTTTAGCAGTCTTTTGGATACTGTGGAGTATCTCTAAGGCTGACATGCTTTCCCAGGAATCATGTTCAAACTCCACAGCTCTCATTCCCAACCAAACTCTCATGTTTCTTCCTTTTTTGTCAGACAAAATCGATTCATGAAGACTTCTATTTGGTGCAAAGAACTTTCACAAGCCAAAAAATGGAGAGGGAGCATTGCAAGCCCATCTGGGCTGCTTCAAAGATACATGATTCAATAACAGGAATGCTTGTTGATTTTGAGTCTCATTGTGTCAACTGGCAATCAATTGACCTCTTGTCCACCCATTGTATTTATGCCTCAAGGTTGTGTAGGATGCACAATCCAAACAATACCCATTTTGCGCCAACGATAAATAGCAATTTGGGTGGGGGGAAAATGGGTCAATTTTCTGGCACTTTTTTACAAAATGCCTCAGGAGTAGAAATTAGGATAAAATCTGCTATTTTGGCCCAAAAATAAAAATGTCTCAAACATTGCAAAATGGATTTTTAGCTCAATTGAGACATTTTTATTATTGACTCAAATGACTCATTTTAGCCTAATTCTCCTGAGGTATTCTTGTAAAAAAAGTGCCAGAAAATTGATCTACTTTCCACCATCCAAATTGCCATTTTTCCTTGGGACAAAATCAGTATGTTTGTAGTGATGCAGTTTGAAGGTGCATAGAAGATTTATTTCTTCCAATGCATGGATTAATTTTCATTCTGTCTCTTTAGACAGATATAACATACAGAAGTGAGAGCTTTCTTTTCCATTTGCACAGCTGTGTAGGTCTTGTGGTTGGCTTCCCACGGATGAAACTGTCAATGGTTGGGTTTTCCTTTTTTTGATTTTTTTTGAAGTGAAACATCCTAATATCAATTTACCACGACCGAACTGACTCGAGTTTATCGATTGCTAGATTGGTCAAGAGCGGTCATCAACCTCACCTTCGAACGATGCAGGACGAGGACCATCCAGCGAGCGCACTCGTTAACCGTTACCTTGAATTATCGGCAGGCCAGATAACACCCTCAGAAAGTCAGAATATCACCCAGGAACTCAGCTCATGGGTACAGAAAGAACCCCAGACACATTTATTACTAGTGATCCAGGCCTCCCGTTTAGGACTCACTTCAGAATCTGACACCACTCGAGCCCATGCAAACAGACTGTTAGCTCGACTAGTGCACGCACTGATCGACTACAAATCACTCTCAAAAACTCAAGGCTGGTTCATCGTCTTCCCACCCGCTCTCATCCTACCAAGTTACACTGACTCAATCCCAGTCCATCCCCTACACGGTTCCTACAGTCAATCTCCTCGTCGAATTCTTTGTAGAAAAGCTGGATGACGGACCGTCGATCGTCGTCGAAGCATTGGCTGCACTGAGGTCGTTGTCCAGATCGGACAATTTTCAGGCTGAACATGCCATCAAATGTTGTAATGCGTTTGTGTTTTCATCCACTCTACCACACGCCTTCTTACGCGTTCAACTTACACCTTTGCCACCTAACAGCCTCTTCCAGCATCTCTCCATCCGCGATCTCGAGCAGCCAAAAAGGCTGGCTGTCCTCATGTTGGTCGATAATTTACTGGCTTATCATCGTGATGGTCAGCTCAATCCTTTCTCCGACATCAATCCATTTTCCAACCGCTCTTTTCTAGTCAATTTTTCTTTTTTTTATTTCAAAAGGAAAAAAAAACCATAGCTAATTCTCGAATTTTCTGCTCTTATGTTGGCCTGATCGTTACAGCTTTACAAAGTATGGGCTCCGAGTTTCTTTCGGGTTACTGCACCCTAGTGGAGGGCGAAAAAGATCCAAGGAACCTGGTAGTAGCTTTCAAATTGGCCAAAGTGATCTTGACTGAATTTGATTTGGGTGATCAAGCGGAGGTAACAAACAGCTGGCGCTTTGCAGTCATACTCTCCGGGTTTTCCCCTTCTAGAAAATGGAATTTTAATTCATAATTTCGTGAAATCTATCGCCTTCTAGAGCTTGTTCGACATCACATTTTGCTATTTCCCGATCACCTTCAAACCTCCGCCCGGAAATCCTGATGCCTATGGTGGAATCACCGCCGAGGAGCTCACTCAAGGCTTGATCGACTGTCTCTCAGCTACGCCGCAATTTGGAATCTTGGTCTTACCTCTCTTGTTAGAAAAATTTCAAGCGCCTGGATTGGGGCCCAAGGTAAGATCAAATCACTCCACTTAGAATCTCTTATCACCCATTGAATTTTCAGGTGAGCCTGGTCAATGTATTTACAACTCTTCCACTTTCTTGTCTTCCAGTCCCAAGTTTTGGAAACGGTGATCCAAGCTTTTCCAATTTATGGCCGAGCAGCAGTAGCAGAGTTTGCTTCACTGTTCTGGGAATCATTCCTTGTCGAAGTAAGTAGCAGTCTAATTGTTGAAAAGTTTTGAGTTCATGTTGTGTGATCTTGTGGGACACTTTTTGTTAGATCTTCCAACCTAACACGTCTCCCAGCCAAGACTTTTTACGACTTCTAGAGCGTGCCTGCCAGACTCTATTCTCGACCGTTTTCCCTGCTGAGGTCGAATTTTCTCCCAGTGGCCCGCTTGATTTCATCAAGCAAGCTCTCGAAGTCGTCATGAAAGAGTTACATTCACCTGAAAAATCTAGGGCAGTTCCGGCCACTCGACTGGTCGGTTGGATCGTCGAGAGTGGCGCAAATGTCACTGATGTGATACTACCAACCATTGACACAAGCGTGGGCACGCTTTTACATCTATGGAAGGCGACTAAGACTGCCACCGGGGATGACGTCTTACTAAAACGAACTAGCATACTTGGCCATCTCAGTACGATATTTAGCTCAATAGGAGCCGTCACCAGCAAACAAGCTACTTCAGTACATCTTTCAATTTCACAATGGCTTACGAGCTCCCTCCGACATGACATTCTGTCGATATTGATCAAAGAGGTCCTGGAAAACGCATCATGCACAGATCCGCTTCTTCAGGTCGCAGCACTGCGAACTCTAGTCAACTTTGTAGGTATTCCCGACACACTTGAGATGCACGAAGCAAATGATGTGATTGGCACTGTGACTCGCTTGCTTCTGAGCAGTGATGAGAATGAAATAACGTGAGTAGTCAATCTATGGTTGCTTTTTTGATGTGATAATTTACCCCAGCTTGTTTTCCATGACTTCGACCAGCAATGCTGTCATTGAAAATCTTTCCACCATAGCAGACTCCCATCCAGCTGCAGTAGCTTCGGTCACCCTTCCTGAACTCTTCTCAAAATTACCCAGCGCCAACCACCTCCCTTCGGTGGAAGCATCTCCACCGATTCCTCCTGTCACCTCAGCTAAATATATCACCATTTTAGATGGCCTGGCAAGTCTGTGCGATCGCGCAACTCTCTTTGACTCTTTCCTTGTCCGACTGTTCGACGCGCTCGAGTCCAGCTGCAACGCCGCCTTTCAGGTATCGGTAAAGGAATTCTTATCCTTATCTGATGGAAATAATCGCAACCAGCCATTTGATTATCGTGCCTACAGCCACCATCTCCTCATATGCCTCCACACTGTCATACAAGCCAAAATCAATTCATTCAATGCCACCCTCAAGAGTCCCGCATCTGACATGGAAGAATGCGCGGTCACGGCGACTCAGGCACGTGGTATCATCGGTAGATTATTTGAGATTCTTCTCTGTGAAGGACATGCCTTAGAGAATTTACCCGCCGAAGGAGGTGGGGAGGCTTCAGGGGTTCGGAGAGATGTTGATCTCAATGCGATTCGCGAGCATTGTACAATTCGTAATGATAAGCGGATAGTCATCAACGCTGGTCAAATCATCAACTCGCTGATGGGTCAGCTTGACTTCCAGTACGTTTATATGATTCAGCTTTACGATTTCTTACACATATATTGACATGGACGCTCCAACCAGACAGCAGCAAGACGTCGTCATCAAACTACACGAATGTTACAGTCTTGGTAATGTGACGGAGATAGTTGCAGAGTCTCGGAACCTTTCATCGGCCTCTTCAGCCACTCGGTCTTGCAAAATCGAAAGAGGCTTTTTACCCATGTCTGTTAGTTAAGGTTCCAGAGGTCGAGCGATTCTTTAATCTTTTATGTTTGCATCAAGTTCACATTCCTGGCTTGGGCTTCTTAAACACACAAAAAAAATAAGCAGGTTGATGCACCAGATCCGGATAAGAACATGCTGGCTCTCTATGTAGAAGCCTTAATCGCCATCAGACCTGGAGTAGGTCTTACCTTTGTATAAGGTGATTTATGAACACGTCCAATTGGCCAAATCTAATCATACCACATCTTTCTCAATCTTGTCAGATAAAATTACCCGATGAAACTCTCTCTACCTCTGATTTCTTCCCTTTCAAGTACTATCATTTCATTTCCCAGACCGGCTCTCCTAACCCAGTTGCCCTTCAGGCTAGTCTCAGATTACTGTGTTCAACGGTCAATAGGCGCGCAGAAGGGTAATGATTTGATTTGCATTTTTTTTTCTCGGATCAGCACGTTTGTTAGGGAGACTGATAGTCAAGCGTCGCGTAGACTTCAATCAATTTTTTGGGGAACAGCTCGACCAGTTTTGGGCGTCCGAAATCGAGGCCAGCCGACTTACACGGCCGCGCTCAAGGAAACTTGCGATCATGATGTGGATCTGGATTATCAAGGGTTTGGTCGTTCGATCTGACCCACGGGGGTACACGATGCTCGACCGAATTTGCGGTTTGTTGAAGGAGGACGGGGAACTTAAAGGTTGGATTGCAAAACGCTTGGCCGTCGTTGTTGATCATAAGGACGAGACTATCAGTCCCAAGAACTTTGCAGTCATCAAGGTAGAACATTCGCCCCCCTCATCCACAGTAGTTTGTTTCAGATTGGATACTAATTCGATTTGGGATGACGCTCAGTTTTTATCCATGCAACGCGCTTGCCATTATCTGATCGGTCGTCTAGTTCGCGACTATGCTGAGGCAAACGGTGTGTCACAATCAGTTTCTTTCATACCTAGGCCGATGAAAAAATGATTAGGAAATTCCAGCTCAAAGCAAAAGAACTCATATTTTTCATTGTTGATTTGAAATATCTTCAGAAGATTCACGTTGGGTTTATCTTGTCGGATTGGCCACTTTACTTGCACGAGTGGGATCCTCAGTGACCTCCCTGCAGCATGAAAAGGTCAGAGACGGGAAGAGAAGAATTGAAAATATCATTGTGTTATATTTTGAAGTGCTGATATGGGCGAAAGTGGTTCTAGATTATACCTTTGCTACTTGAGGCGTTAAAGCTACCTGATGTGGACGTTAAGTTGGATAGCTTGGTGACCATCCATGACCTGATTGAAAACGACAAGCGAGGGACCGTCTTCGAGAATCACTTATCTTCTCTAGTATCGGCCTTGTTAATCAACTGTACCTTCGGAAGGGGTAGCATCAATGGCGAAGACAGGTCCAAGACACCTAATGACTCAGCGCCAAAAACGGGAGGAACATCTGCGGTAAGTTCTGGTTTCTGTGCATCATATGTAATCTGATATCCTTTTATCTCAGCTTGTGATGGCTCTGAGGTTCCATTGAGCATGGTCGCTAATCATGTGTTGGGACTTGCTCGCATTGCGTGGAACAGTCGGTCAGGCTTTTCGCGCTGAAGATTCTGGCACTCCTGCCGAGCAAGGCCGGCCACCCGTCGTCCTCAACCCCCGGCCCTTCCCCGCCACCGTCCGGCCTGCCATCCAATGTCGCCAAGGGCGTCCTACAAGGCCAACGGAACAAGGTGTTGCTGGCCCTGTCCAGTGCACTCGACGACCCCAAACGCGACGTCAGGAAGATCGCCGTTGATTGTCGCGCTTACTGGTTCTCTCTAAACTTGACTTGATTTCGATCATGGCACCCCATGCGTTCAACTTACCACAACTACTCCTTTTCCAAATTTTTAACCGTTTTCTATCGTTCATCTGCTTTTCGATCTATTTACCATGACTTTCGATTACGGAATACACCAATCTTACATAGCATGTAGTCGAGAATTACATTTGTTACATGTGTATGTAGTCAAAATACTGTCCCCCTAGATTTCATAGTATGCGATACCAACAGCCATACATCGGCATATTTCACTCGGGAAACAAATGTGACCCCTGTATATAACCGACCCAAGTGAGTTGGGTGGTGTGATGACCGGGCTGAGGTTGCTTATCCCCAGGAATTGATTCGGGGAAGAATGTGGAAGATTCAGAAGAATGTCTCGCCTGTATATCAGCCTGTACAAGCCCGTGGCTGTACTCGAACTTCCCAACCAGAAACAGCCAACCGGAAATGCATGACTTCTCGGATTGGCTTTCTATGGCCGATTTCTTTGAATTATAGCCAGTCTTCCATCAGTCTCAACGTGCGGTGAACCGCCAGCAGTTCCTCCACCTCTAATTTCATCAACATGCACTGTTTTTCATTCTTGCGGAATATTGCGATCTACACCTGGACAATCAGCTTCAACTTCACTCCCAGCTCCGGGAAACTACATGGTCAGTCTGTAACCAGATACGTCGTGGAATATCAAAACCACCATGCACTCGTTCAAAATCAAACAGCTGTACGCATCCATCCAACTATTCACCCTTCTTGGTTTTTTCGCCTTTTGCTGCTTCAAACTGATTTTGGGCTGCGTGGGAAACTTCAGTACTTCAGGAATTTATTGGAAACGCACTTGAAGAGCAACAACATCGGGTTCAATGACATTACGCCGTTCAATGAAGCCCCCAGCATTTTTTCCGGCTTCTCACTTTCAGTTCACACTCCACACAATCCAAAAACCATCAAAGCGGCCTCCTTTGTCAAAGTTTGCTCGCATTTCTCTTCTTTCACTCATTGTGGATTCGCGTGGAATGTCCATCCAGCGTATTTTGTGTGTTACAATCGCTAACGGATGATCTCGTACACAGGCAATCTTTCCCGTTCTGCCAGTCGCACGCCCGGTCTTTCTGCACACACCCAGAGTTCTCAACACTCTACAGGTGGGGAATCCGGCGGATGTTTTCGAGCCTCATGTTCAAGTTGGCATATCACGTCTACACAAAAAGGGATATCGATGCAAAGGGATCAACATAGCCGTCATTGACACTGGCTGCGATTGTCAACATCCGGCCTTGGGAAAAGGCTTCGGGAAAGGATTTAAGATTGCGAAAGGATACGATTTTGTGGGCGACGCTTACAATGGATCGAACCTGCCGATACCCGATGACAATCCATGCACGTCTTGTGCTGTGAGTGCCTTTCCCAGCCTTCTTTGTATCTCTGATTCTAACGATGCTGCTATATATATTTTTTTTCGTACCAGCTGCATGGTACTCACATCATGGGTGTTCTCGCCGCTAACGAGAATACTATGGGCTTTCGAGGAGTATGTCCAGATGCAACAATGTCCTCGTACCGAATATTTGGCTGTGAGGAAAATACAAACGACGAACTGGTCGCTTCAGCCTTGCTGCGAGCGTACAAGGATGGGGGTTTGTAGCAAGTGCTTCTTTCTCAAAGATCCACATCTCAATAACTCACGTAACCTTTGTAATTCTTAAATTTTCAGCCGATGTTTTCTCGTTATCTGTTGGCGCCCCCGGTGGTTGGGCTGGGGGATCGATAGCAGCAGTCATAGCCAGCCGGATAGCCAAAAGGCGCGCAGTCGTAGTCTCGGCTGGAAACCTGGGCGATGTAAGTATTTCCTGAGCAACAATGAGACTGGCATCCCGTCAAATGTTGACACTCGATTTCATTTAAGGAAGGTATGTTCTTTGCCACCTCGCCATCCACCGGCACCGGCGCGATCTCGGTAGGAAGTGTCCAATCGACAGCCCTTGTATCATATCCTTTCACGACTTCCCTCACTGGCTCCCGAACTTTCAACTACTTTGCTACCTTTACTATGGAGCCTGGAACCTTTCCTGTATACCCGATAAGCTCTACGAAGGATGGCCTGGATGACGCCTGTACACCGTTACCAGCCAATCTACCTAATCTATCGCAACACATCGCATTAGTCAGGCGTTCCGAAACACAGTAAGCGACTGCCGACTTTTTTTTTGGCAAAGCCATCGGACTGACATCCAGTTCACAACACAGCGCATGCACATTCGAAACCCAATTGGGCCACTTGCTCAAGAAAGGCACACACAAGATCCTTTGGGCCAATGTTTGTTACACATTTTTCTTGCCTTCATTGATTGACCATTGTTTTTTTGACTATCTGTTGGGTGTTGCTACCCCGGTTCAACTTAGAATAACTCTTTCCCAGAATACGTCGCGCGTGATGCGTCTAACGGGGTGTCTGTGGGTGTGGTAACTCGAGATATCGGAACAATGCTAAGAGAAAAGTATTTTGAAAATCCTGGAAAATTCAGTATTACCATTTCGAAGGATTTGGCAATTGCTCAAGGTATTTACATTGGTGTCGCAAGATATGGATGGTCTTTGAATCAGTAAAGAATACTGACCACCTATAATTTTTCTCATTGAAATAGTTGCTGCCCCCGACAGCGGCAAAGTTAGTCCGTTCTCCAACTAGTGAGCATCATCCATTTGTCTATTTTGGAAAACACTGAAAGCTGAAGCCCAAATTCCTTCCAGTGGTCCCATGTTCGATCTCGAATCACCGCAGCCTGGGGTACTTGGAGTTGGGGGCAACGTCCTATGTTTGTTGAACTCACACTCTGTTCCATGACTTTGTCTTTCCGTTTCTTTAGAGGTTAACCTTCCCCTCCTGTTTCGCACCCAAATTTAGCCACTTACCCCGTATCCGAAGGTTCATTTGTAAGCATGCATTCTGACGACTAAGTTTGATTATTCAGTCCCAGAACTGAGTCGAACATGCAATCCTTTGATGTAATGCAGGCTATCGCCTCAGGAACGTCTATCTCCGCGCCACAGGTCAGTTGTTATTTTCCCATATTATGTGGTTTATAATATGATGACTGATGTATCCCAACGTATCTCAGATGGCGGGTATTGCAGCTCTGGTGATCAGTACGCAAGGGAAAAACATCAATCCACATGAAATTTACACCCGGATCGCTTCCTCAGCGACGCCTGTTTCAAATTTCAGCGAAACTGGTATTCTGGAATGTAAGAAGGTTTCCCAACATAGCCGTTCCGCGAATCAAAAGCTTATTAGAGTTGATTTTCATTATAGCCGTATGTCATCAGGGTGCAGGCCTAGTCAACGCTTGGTGTGCCGCAATGGCGACCACTGTGGTTTCAACTCATTCATTTTCTCTAAATGATACCCTCCACTTCAACGGGACGCAGTCTTTCTCTATTACAAATAAAGGCAAACGATCTGTTTCATATACCGTCGAGCATGTCACTGCTGGAACCGCCCTCACTTTTTCCGAAACCAACGTAGCAAACCGATGGCCAGTGCCGCTCATTCCTGGCACTGCAGACGTGTCTTTCTCAGTCTATGAATTTGTGCTCCGCCCAGGCCAAACTCGCAAGCTCCAAGTGAAATTCAAAGCGCCTTTAGGTCTAGAAGAAATCTCGCTTCCAGTTTATTCAGGTTTCGTGATCCTTGTAAGTGACACGCTAACTCAACACCAGAGTGTCGCCCCTAAAGTACTCATGGCTTGTGACCAAATTTGACGATCTGTATCGCTAAAGAAATCCGACACAGAATGCGAGAGCCACACTATCCCTTACTATGGAGTAGGTGCAGCATTGAAACAGCGACCAGGTAACGTGTTAATATCAATTAATATGACATTTTTTTTCAAAATTATACTAAGTTGATAGATTTGTTCCTGGTCGTAGTGCTCGACTATGGATATAGCTACCAAGACAATTATACTTTACCCGCACTAGATAGTGGTTTGACTGGATTGCCGGTCGAGGAGGGACATACCTTCACTTTGCAAGGGCTTGATGTCCCAATTGTTGAATATCGATTAGCGTGTAAGTCTTCATTAGAAATATTATCAGAAGATGATTTCCTGCACATTACTGATCAAATTGCGATATCTCCTACTTTAGTCGGAACTCCTTTGGTTCTATTTCACATTGTCAAAGGGGACACTGTTATACCAACATCTCTTTTACCTCAACAATCTTCACAAGAAAAAGCACCCAACCCAGAACCGCATCCCGCAACAACCCCTCCACCCTCTCCTAAAGTTTCTTCTCAAGACAGTACCGCCAACTCGCCACAAAATGGTCGGCTCCTCAAGAGAGCTGTAAATAGTGAAAAAAAACCCTTTGTATCATCCCTCCAAACCCGATGAATTTCCCGGCAGACTTCCTAATCAATTCCGAGGAATCCCATTGCTAGGGTCAATTAAGCCGTTTGAACAATTACAAAGATGGAAGCCAAGACATGCGTGTGTTTCAGTTTCATCTTTGAACAGCCCAGCCATTATCGACCCATTGGACCACACAGTTGAAATTGATTCCTTCTCTATTTGTAGGTTGGCTGACGCTGCTTCAATCGCTTTCAGCGGGAAGATATATGACTTGAGTGTTGCGAACTATCATCACGCTAAACCGATAACAGTCCCAGACGGAAAATATCGAATTCTAGTGAGGTGAGTGAGAACCGAAGATTGATGCTCCCTTACAGATTTGATGGCATGTCCAACTTACTCAAACAAAATTGACAATTTTCAGGGCTCTACGAGTGACAGGCGACCCTCGAGAAGAAGAGGATTATGAGGCCTGGCTTTCACCGATTTTCACCATCCGTCGTTCCAACCAAAAGCCTTAATAAGCCGATAACCCACTAATCTGCCTGTCATATCATATATCTCTCAAAACAATCCAACTCAACAAGCCTTCCTACCTTCGCCTTTTATGTATTCTGAATTTCCGCGGAGCGTACTGGATTTCAAGCCCTCCAAAACTGCAGCTGGTTCTAGTCTATTTCGATTTACCGTGTTCAAATCAACTGCCGGAAGATCATTTCCAATCAAAAGACATTTCAAGCTTCATCAGTTTTCTTGCCTATTTGTAAACTTCACAAAACTTAATCACCACCTCATTTCTTCAATTTCTTGTTCAATAGAAAACCCCTGAATTCCGGGCCTACATGTGCAAACAATTCCTTAGGTCTGCTTTGCTCAATCATAGAGGATAGCTTCTGATTTCATCATGATTCCTTGCTTACATAAGCCTTCTTTTTTTTTTCTAATTTGAAGTTCATAATCAAATATTGTACTTAGACATCAACTAATCTATTTGTTTGGCTTGACCACACCACAACATTATTTTTTTTTTTAAAAAAAAACCTTTAATTCAACGATTGGTTTGAACTAGTGCTTACATTCTTTTGATAAATGCTGATTTTTTGAAACCAAAATCAATTGATGTAAATATCTATGTTGTATAAATTGATGAAGAGGTGTTTGACCAAAAAAAAAAAAAACATGAAATTAATGAGATGTGCTTTGTGAGGGATCCAGTCTTCATGATTTCCTGCTCAAATTTGGTGGGCCACGTTCCTGTGAAAACAGGCCACACTCAAGTAGTTGAGGAAGAAAATGAATTGCTGCAGGTAATCAAAAGTATGGTGAAGCCCTCTAGATACCTGGAAACCAAGCGCAGAATTGCAACTCAGCAAGCTTCCTTTTCTTTCCTTTTTTCAAAGTCCTATTCCAATCACGGTCCTTGAGCATGTGTACAGCTTTTGATGAAGTGTACACATGTATCGTGCATGGATGACCAGTTGAGTTGATGTGTCACCAAAGTGTGTGATTTCTCCGACAGTCCCTTACCGAGTTTTCCTAGGTTTTCCTACGTAGTCATCCTTATCAAGAGCCGATATCTCTTTTGACTGGACTCTCGCCTACATATAACACAAACACATCCTTCGAGCAAGGACCAAAGAACCGACAAGCGTTGCACCTCATGGTTGAGTCTGGGTCGATCATCTTGGGAGTGGTGGCGATTCTCTCGGCGCTATTCGGGGCGTTTTTGAAGCCCAAGTTTCGACCAAGCAGGTGAGGTTGCTTATATCCAATCTTGCATCAGACATTGGAAACAAGTCGGGCACATGCTGATTTCTTTGACCCGGATCACATCCAACGCTGCTCAGGTATCTTTAGGACCGGGACAAATCGTAACAACGAGCATTGTTCGACGATAGGCTTGGAGGCATGTGAGGACATATGGGTCGATCAACCGACAGGGTTGGCTTATTTGGCATGCAGCAGTCGTACACAGCGGGCGTTTTGGGAAACGGGAGTGGGAATACTAGAGTTGAGTTTTCAGGTTGTCTTTCCAAGAGTTTTACGCCGATTGTGTATTTTTCTGATTTGGTTCATCCCCATTGAAGAGCAGAAAAATTACCACCTCGCTCGCTTGATCATATCACAATCCTAGACCTCAAAACCCACGAGCACCGAAAACTCGAACTGGTCAACTTACCACCCCACATAGTACAGAACGGTATTTACGTGCATGGTATCGACCTGGTTGTTACTCCGAGTGATCCAACCGATAGCAGCGCTGCAAACCAAATGCCGTTTTCGGATGGCGCAGCCGGCGATCAGCTAGGCTCAAGACGAGCTACCATATACCTCATCAACCATCGACCTCCCTCGGACAGGAAGTCTGCCTCTTTGATCGGCGCTCAAAGCGTGATCGAGGTTTTCGATACCGTGTTGGGTGACTCCAAGGCAACACACACCATAACGATCGAACATGGTCTCATCTTAACTCCTAACAATCTTGTGGGTATTAGTGAGACAAGCTTCTATGTTACAAATGACCATAGCTCCAAAACCGCTTGGGTGAGCTTCCTTCCTACATTTTCACACACTTCTCTTTTACTTGCTCTTGATTTAAGTTAACCGCCTTTCGCAAAATTATGATTGAATCAGACCCGGCGTTTGGAGGTGTGTCATTTTATGACTTATGTCATCCAACTTACTCGAGTCATAGTTAACTCAACGTCATAATCAACAGCCGTTTTTCACAGATTCAGAGGTCAGATCTTTATGTTTTCTTGTTTGAACCAAAGTCCTTCTTTCGTTTACCATCTGCCACCCGCTTACGTCTTGGACTCAATGTAGATTGATAGCATTATATTTTGTTCGTTCCAAGACGAGCTGAACTGTTTGCCTGCAGTAAGCGGTAAACATCCGCACCCCAATGGAATTGCTAAGGTAAATCAGAAATTTATGTGGCGGAGAAATGTATTTACCATCTTTGATTCCACTAGGGGCCCGGGGATTCGTTGTACATGGTCACCACTTTTGATCCTTATCTGAGAGTGTATGAAATCCAAGCCGACTACACTCTAGCCCTAACAGACGAACTCAAAGTTGAGCGAAAATTCGAGTTTTATCTGTATGCTGATTTCCTTTTCAAGAAAAAAACTGATCAGATGTTCCACTTGAACAATCCACAATCTCTTTGATCCCAACATGATCCTATCTATTACCAGTTACCCAGAGTAGTGGACAATATTTATGTGACCCCCAAAGGATCAATCTTTATGGCCGGAATACCATCACTCTATAGGTTCAAGAAACGTCTGTTGGGGATGCAAGAAGGCAACTTTGATATACTGTCTCCCTCTGATGTTTGGAAAGTCTCAAATGAAACAAGCTCTGATGCTTTTTACGGTGGAAGATTGAAGGTAGAACAGGTAAGAAAAATGAAATTTGTTCGATGTTTACTTTGTCAAGTCGTCCTCCTGGGTTATGTATGATGGGGATTTGATGATTTCGAATATTTGGGGTCTTTCCTCTAATTAGGTCCTAGCAGATGATGGAAATAAAATCAATGGAAACACGGGTGTGGCTGTTTGGGATTCAAAGCTGTATCTAACCGGTAAGTTTGAACTTCCAATTCCTTCCTTGGAGTCTGAATCATCCTTTTCTTGTTCTTTTTTGCCAAAAAGAATGAGGGTGTTAGTTCCCCTGATGGCATTATTGATGCTTACAAAGGATGTTTTGATGTTGTTTTTAGGCCTTACAAGTCCATATATATCAGTATGTAAAATTGATGAGGAATTGGCTCAGTGAATGATGTGAAACCTTTCTCCTTTTTTCTCTCTTTCTTGCTTGTAAACGTCTGTTTTGATTGTGTCACACCAGCTGAAAACCTCAACCCCTCTGGGATCTGTGGAAGATATTTTAGAAAAATTGCAAACACACACAAACACGTCAGAAGGAATGAAACATTTTTCAAAAAAAAAAAAAAAACATCTTAACCAGGAATGAGAGTGTGTCTTTGTATAGGATGGTGACGCATTTCCATTCAGGAATGAGCTTGCTTGATGTCGTGGGATTATGGCGGATCACCGAAAGTTATTCAAGCCTGGAGGAGAGTATGTAAGCTCTGAATGATTAGACCATGTGCCATTGACCAGGAAAGTGAATCATTGAAGCACAGATTCCATTAATAGTGCAATTCTACAAACTCTTCATGTTTTCTCCTTTGAGTGACTGGTTATCAAAGTCTGCTTTTTGCACATTAAATCTATTTTGTATCTGATGATACATAACACTTTTTATGCATGTTGCAGACTGAATTGAAATTGTACATAGTTGAAATATTTGGATCTGGTATGGCTTCCCTTATTTGATTTTTCCTGGGTCATGTCACTTGAAACATGATTGCAAGTTCAACTCATGAGCATTATCTATTAGCACTTCAGATTAGCAAAGTGAGGATACATGAGTACCAATCAATTCAACCAGATTCAACCCTGTCTGATAAAAAAAATCAAAGTCAAACCTACATCTTTTTTACATCCTAAAGGATCATGGGTGGACTAATCTTAAAAACACATGTGTTTCATTCACACATGCTGCATGCTGTTGTTTTGGGTAAGAGCTCAACCTCACATCTTTTAGAAGCTTACTTCATGAGGTTTTGACGCGAGTGTACCAGACTTTGCTTTTCTTTGGTTGAATTACCCACACGACCGCTTGGCTTGAAAAATGGATTTGATCGGGGCAAGAGCACCAGATGCGATCGAGGGCCTTCAGAATAGTATCGAAAGGCTACTTGAACATTTAGTCTAATTACACGAATCAAGGCAAGTCAAGGAGCGCGAGCATTGGGCCTTTCTCGGACTGGATCGCCAAACCCAAACCAGATCTGTAAGATCTAAGCTATGCAGTTCGATCGGGCAGCCCCATGTTGGCCTATTGGGGATGGTAATGAAGTTTGAAAAGGTCATCCATACCAATCCATTCCTTGTGTCTTCATTTCTCTATGTCTCATTGGGCGTTTGAAGAGTAGCAGCTGGCAGCGGTGCTTACAACTTTCGCCAAATCTAACAGAATCAAAGGACTGTGCTCTACCATTTGCGAAACGGGAATATGGACACCGTTGAATACCAAAGTGCAGTGCGTATTGATGCGGTTAGGTGGCCTTAAGTTCTACATCACTCTTTTTTGCTTGCTCAATACATTAAACCCTTTACTTTAGCTTGTGAAGATATTCCCCAGGATCTCGGTTTGAAGCATGTTGTATAGAGATTTGACATATAAAATACTCAACTCCTGTCTGAACGCAGTTAGTTTTTTCCTCCTTTCGTGATCCCCTTCTTTCTTCTAAAATCAGTTGATCTTAAATAAGCTAAGGAAAGAATTATCTTCGGATCAACCGACTGCAGTGATGTGGAAATTTTTCAGTGTCATCGCGATATTGGTTTCACTCCCACTTTCCAGTATAACTATAAGCTCATCCATTGGTGCAGACTTGAATAATGCACACCCACTCCGCATCCCTTTGGAAAAGAAGCTGTTTGTGAGGGGTGGCGATGGGATCTTCAATTTCACTGCCGCTCAATTGTCACATCAGCATACGCTTAGGTAGGCCAGAAGAGAGGATTTCTGATCGTCGCTTTCACTTGCTTGATACTTTTGCCAACACTTATGTTGTTTGTTCTGTTTTGCTTGCGAAAAGAAAATATCGGGGCACTTGTGAGAAATACAAACACGCCCGAAGCTTTTGGCCCAGCCTATCCAAATTGTCAAGGCCATACCGTCATCATAGGCGCCAAATTGAAAGGTTAACTAATCAAGGCAATCAGAGTAAGCATCAAGATCATAATATATCCAAGTCTTACCATCGACCGAAAGCTTATTCAGTGAGATTATTCAAAATTGAAGTGTGGACGTAAGTCACGATACAAAATATGCAGAAGCTTTGCGCTTACAAACACTCCAAAAACAGTGGACTCGTAAAAATTGGAACGCCAAGCCAAACCTTCAGTGTAGATTTCGACACGTGGGTTGATTTGGTTTTCTTGCATCTATCCCTCATATTCCTCTGAAAACATTAAACGCTTTCTTTCCCTTGCAAAATCATTGAAACAGGGGGTCGGGAGATTTTTGGGTTCCGTCAATCGATTGCAAAGATAACCCATGCGGCTCTAAGAATATTTATAATGCATCTGCAAGCAGCACATCTACAAGACTTCCGGATTCATTTAAGGTTAATTGTCAGTTCTTCACAGATTTATGAATGGCAGCCGCTGCGTAACCCCACCTGATCTTAGTTTGGTTCTTGGCTTTGGAGGGCTGGTATAGATGGAGATGGATCAACTACATCAGGAAACCAATACAGAGATTCGGTCAAATTGGCAGGAATCACCATTGCCAACCAGACCTTCGCCGGTGTATCGAAGCTGAGCGACGAATTTCAACACGACCCAACAGATGGCGTATTAGGTCAGGATTTAATGCGATTAGATTACATCAAGAAAATGCCACGATTCTGATGATAAAATCTTGGATTTTGGATCCAGGTCTAGCCTATCCCGCAATCTCTCATTTGAAGTCGCCTTCGTTCATTGAAAACGTGTGTATCTCGCGTCATACTTGTGATTAAATATGCAATCATCTAGTTGCTTATTATTTTTGTTTTTCTTTCAAAAAAATTATCTCCGCAGGCATTTAATCAAGGATTGATACCATCTAAGACGTTTTCTTTCAAATTAGCCAACGAAGGTGGTGAGCTATATTTGGGGGGAGTGAATCCATCCAGGTTTGTAGGTACACTAGAAGCACATCCAGGTGAGTTGAAATTGGTGCGTCTTGAGTGGGATCAGCTTGGCAAATTTTTCAAAAAAGAACTATCTTGACGGACAAACATGTGTTTTTTTGAATAGTTATACGACAGGCATATTGTGAGCTAATCAAACTGATATTTTATCTTTATCCAAGACTAGCCGAGTGCTAACGCGCAATTCTCGCTTCGATCTTCTAGGGGAGATTGGTAATGGGAGTGTTAATGTTAATAGCATCAACATCAGTCAAAATGGCCGAATGATTCTTGATAGTGGTACAACAATTATGTGAGTTTCTCTCGCAGCGCAATTTGAAAAAAATCAGAACGTGATCATGAACCGGCAAGCGAATGTGAGTTTTAGAACACAGAATGAAACCCTTTTTTAATATTTCGTTAGTCTCGACGAAGTTTTGTTGAAAGTAAAATAACAGATGGCTCTTCCGATTTGTTCAAGTAGGATTCAGTAATCAATCTTTACATTGTTCCTTCGTTCCAGATATGGACCAAAGCTAGCTGTGGAAAAACTATACTCTTCGGTCGACGGAGCAAAGAAATACGAGAAACGGGATGGCCTTTGGAAATGTGGGTCAATTTGCCAATGTGTTTAGAAGCAATGGTGTGCTAAGATAATCCATCATAGTCCCTTGCGTGAGCGCACCATCGGTTTCTTTCAGCTGGAACGGTGGAGGGCAATGGGCAATAGACCCGAAACGAATGTCACTAGGTAAAGTGGAAGCTAACTCAGCCGAATGCATCGGTGCTATCTCGAGTCAAGCTGTCGGCCTGAATGATTCCTGGCTACTGGGCGATACATTCATGTCTGTAAGTGTGGATATGCCAACGCCTCATTTGAAGCTTTCAGGGTCATCTAATTTCGGTTTACTCTTATGATAATTTATCAGAATGTTTACAGCGTCTTTAACCCAGTCGGGGGTGGAACTGTTTCCTTCGCCACACCGGTATAGAAATCGGAAGCATATCAACTCCTTCAATTATCAGTCATCCTAACCTAATGCTTGCCCACGATGAGCGCCGATTAGCTTTGGAAAGTCAAAAACCATTTGACATCAATCATGGTCACTGGTGTCCATATTGTTTTGGCCTTATCTTATGTATGATATACTATACTTTGCGATAGCTTAAATTCAATGAACCCCATCTGATTGTACTCGCAGGAGGTGTGCTAAATGGTAAGTACGCGCCCCTGGAGGAACGTCGGAGGCACAAATTCAAAAGCAGATCAAGTATGTGTCCATATGTCGCAGTGACGTAGAGACAGCAGGCCATAGTCGGCATATTTTGCCTTTCGAGATGAACCATGAGAGAGAATTAATTGATTGCAAATTAGAGGTTTAAAAGGATCATTGCGCCCACTGAGAAATTGCTTATTAATTCAGACAAGGGTTTTTAAGGTAAGATAACCTAATATGTTAATTCAAAATTTGTTTTTCAAAAAATGCGAGATCTGTGACGCGCAAAGAATGAACGAAGCACTTGTATGATGAACTACTACTTGAAGATACGGGCGTTCGAATCAGTCCTAAAAATACTTAGCATATGGAAGATACTTCTTCGAGTGAGTCTTACCATATTTATCACAATGTCATCGTAGTTGGTGTTACAACCTTTGGCTGAGGCTGGCCGAGAACCTGCTGATCATCACACGCGATTGAAGCCGAAAGTCCTTGAAACTTGCCAAGATCCGGTGGGACTCTTTTGTAAGTTCGACAGGCAGCTTCGCGATCTAAGGTAGGTACGGAACTGAGTTCAACTTCGCATGCGCCTAAACTGACAGTTTCAGTGTCCTTGCTTTTCGTTTTAATCACAACCTATTAAGAAGAATCTCTTGATTAGTTCCCCGCCCAAGGCTCAGTTTCAAAAGCTCAATGCAAACATACCTTTGCCGTTACATGGTACGTGACTGTCATAAATTTGGTCTTGCATGTGTCGCCGATGGAATAATGATAAACACTCTTGGGACGCGGAATGGTTAGATCTACACTTCCACTCCATGCAAAGCTTGACCGGGAAGCCGTTCTCTTCTCTCGATCAGAGGACGTAATCGGAATCTCGGCCGCTTCAACGATGGAAACGACGGGCTTTCGGTGGGGGCGCAAGGCTGGTAGTATGCTCGGCTTCCGGCGGAGTTTGCCAAGACTTCGAGTCGACCTCAACTTGGGAACTGTTGAAGATGGGGCGTCTGACAAGGAAGCCGCGAAAAACAAGGGTTTTGAATTTTGGGGTGGAGGATGCCCGACGTTAGACGTGTCAACTGATTCCGTATCAGTCATTAAGGTTCGTTCGAGGGCTATGATAACTTTTTTGAATTTGGGCGGATCCAAATGAGTTTCTCGCAGATAGTCTGTGTTGATCGAGAGGGATACTGTGAGGTGATCCCCACAGGAGACTTGGGTAGGGCAAGAAAGTGAATAACGGATCCGGGGGGCTGTTGTGGATCCATGAATATGTGTGAGAGTTCCTACGGGGGACAAGTTGTGGAAGTTTGTGAGATGAAGTGGATAACACTTTGTAATGGTTTTCTCTCCTGGAGCCCCACGGACGACTGTTAGAGGATAGTGGTCAGTTTATCAAGTCTGCCTTGCTCAGCCTATGGTTGGAAGGAAACACACCTGCTTCTAGCTGCCACCAACTCCTCCAATTTTTGTATGTCATCGAACCGATGGCAAACCCGAGACGATTAGGGTCAGTGGCTGTTCGAGGGACAATCAACCTCCATTGGCTTTGATAGTCACCGATGAGGGTGTTCAATTTTTGAGGATTATCCGGAGGTGGCCAGATATATGACGCAGTTTCCCATAGGATGTTCAGGTTTTCAGGAAGGTGGTTCTCGTTGAAGTGTTTGTTGAGTTGTGCTTGTCCGCCAACCGCTTCATAGCACCTCAATCGAACAAGGATCTGAGCCACGGCGATATCTTCTCCTTCGTCCCGCGAGTCTAACTTGATTGTACCGGCTACCAAAACAGGTGAAAGACCCAAGTGTCCAGTATGAGGGAAGTACTTCGTACAATTCCCCTTCCTAGGGAGAAGCGAAACGGAGACCATCGCTCAAAAAAAAAAGAAGCAATCAAAAGAAGTCCAGCTTCAAGGGTGAAAATTGAAAAGGTGATCAAGCGATTTATGTATCACTGTTAAAGAGAGTGAGAGAAGAATGGACGATTGTGCACACCGAGGCGCTGGCTGATACTGTGCTGCCCAGGGCATATAAAGCTGTCCCGGTGAGCGGGAAGCACTCAAAACGTCAGGCCATTTGGGATGGGACGAGTTAGTGGAACGGATATGATCACGACACAAAAGGAGGGATAGTTAGTATAGTGATTGGTACATCACTCGGTGCCCCATCACAACTAGCTTTGTTCTTGTGATGAAGATCACCCGAGGTCGAAATGTTCACTAGTCTGTACAACTCAATGGGGTATGGCTATGAATGAATGCAAGTTGAGGGACTCGGCGGTAGATCCGTTCTTCGAAATCTGGCCCAAAAGGATGTTTTAATTCCATAGCGGTGGGTTTCCTCAAGCACCGGTTGCAAGGATCATGAAGGGTTCAAGGAACTGACGTACTATTCCGGTGCCATGACTCATATTGTAAGTATCATAAGACGAGTCACGCGATGCCGACCCAACAGCTTTGAGTTATCGAAATGCTGATTCCCTTCAACGGTGGATAGAAACAGCCAGAAACCCGCAGAGGCTCATCACAATCAAACCAGCAGATCTTGACATTACCAACTTGGCCCAGTGCGGTTGAAGAAATTTTTGCAAGACGCTAAATGCGTCCGCTGGCCTCGAGTGATTAAGATAAGGAAAACAGAAGCATCATGAGCACAGTCACAGGTATACATACGTTGTACTGGCTTCAAATCCAGTACTCATATAACTGCGCCCAGTAAGCAATGAGACGTGGGTTTCAAACTCGACATAGATTCCAGGTTTGACAATCCGTTGGAGACAAACAACGCAAGAGTCTCCCAAAGAAAGCGCTGGTTAATCCACATTCGCTCGGAGCTCTCTATTGCTTGAAAATCTCAATCATGGGGCCTAACTGGCGAACCCCGCTGATCTTTCTTGTTCACCTTAGAAATATTCTTCCAGCCAAAAGTTTAGTTCCATCGGAAGGCCACTTTGATTTAAAACGGGTCGAATCAACGAAGTGCGAGCAAGAGTTGCACGCTCTTTCCTGACTGCCCTTTCGGAATCAAAACGAACAGACTCCTTACTGATACCTCGCAATTGTTTTAGAAATCTCGGAAATTTGAGCGAGCATCCTCTGCGATTAAGTCTGAGCCTTTCAATAGACGATGAGAGCTCAACTTCCCCCCAGCTTGTGAATCCCAAATTGGCAGAAGGGAAAAAATGCCAGAAATTTCCCGACTCAGCAGGTTTGTATCATTTTGTCTACTTTTCTAAAACCATCCTACCAACTAGACAATGTTTTCTCTTGGATAAATAATTGCAATTGCAATCGGTGATTGGAATTTGTTTTCATTCTCAGTTGAAGCACCCGAAGCTCAGCCTGGTTTCAAACCAATCTCATCTACGAAACAGTTAATTGAGGAGCTCGATTTCATGGGTGAGAGCTGAACCAGTTGCTCTCAATTCTCCAATCCAAGATACATCATTACTGATTAGAATTTGGGTGCTGTTTTCCCTTGTGTAAAACAGCTTGGTCTGATCACAAATCCCAGGGGATCTCACGGTCAGGTGATAATAATTCAGCATGGTATCAATATTGTGACAAGATAGGTGTTTGCCAACCTGCTATAAAAAATGAACATGGTAAGAGGTGGTGACTATTTGAATGATGAATAGTGTGGCAGTTGAAAAAAGGCATTTTCCAGAACTGGAACCTCAGTTATCCCTCAAATTAGCTTTGAACTATCCAGAGGTACCCCATGAAAAGCAACGAGCTTCCTCAAATGAATCAAAATTGGTTTCTGGTGAAAAGGGGAGGCCGATATCTTTCAAAATGGGCCAATTTTATGGTGAGTTTCTCCTGTTTACTCCCTGCATTTCAGTCTATTCTCTTGCTTGACTTGGAATTATTGACTAATTCTTGGGAACATATCTGGGAAATAACTAAGACATCAGAAGCCATAATCAAATTGATACCCAAAATGTTGAAGGTAATCCCAATCCAGAATCTTCAAATACAGTTCATAATTCCATCCCAGAATCAAATATTCTTGTTCCTGGGACCACCAAAAAAGATCCCACAGACCTTGCTCCAAATGATATAAAAGATTCCAAATCTACAAAGAAACCTGTAAGATCTTTGAAAAGAAAATTTGAAGAAAACACATCTCAGAGAGAAGAAAACACGAGAAAGTTGGGAGAAATGAAGGAAATGAAAAGTTGGATGTTTATTTTTGGAGCTTCATTATATATTGCTGATCCAAATCACCAGAAACTAAAATTAGTGCATGAGGCAACGATTTCAGAATTCACTGGTAAACTTGCTTCAAGAATGAGCCAAATGATCATGGGAAAAGGAGGTGTCTCAACAAAAAATCTGAAATTTGATTTCTTGCAATTCTCTGATCTACTGTGGTTTATCAATTGCAGATTCCTTCAAAGCCTAGGAAATCTCCAATCAGATGAATATTTATTGCAGGAGACAACTTCATTGTATGATTGGATTCTTGGTATTTTCCAAGAAACAGAACATATAAAAAAGGAACCTGTTACTGAGGCAAAAAGACAGACAGGCCAACCCTTTATGATCCATTGCAAGTATGAAAAGATAGTTGAATTTCTTGAAGATGCCCTCTTCTCAGAAACACAAACAGGGCAGATTTATTTTCTCAAGAAAGGAGTCACATCTCACCACACCAAAGTAGGGGCAATTTCTGAGAATCAATCACTGATGGCCAAAGCAGTTGTTTATTTCTTGGGATATTACTATCAAGAAAGAAACCCAAAAAAGTGGGGTATATTATTTTCTTCTTATGATTACTTCATACATCATATAAAGAGAATTCAACTAAATCCATTGAATGGAAGATCTCAAGACAATATAAAGGGTAAATGGCTTTCAGAACTGGAAGCACTTCCTTGGGGAGGAAATCAAGAATGTGAAGGACTGTACTTGAGAAATTACAAAATCAACAAAAGATTTTATTTCAACCCATGTTCTTATCTGGAGGAATTAACTCCCTCACCTCATGTAGCCAAAGAATTTCAAGATGAAGCACCACAGAATACACTTGAGACTGAAGAGAATCTTCAGAAACTCTGGTCACTTCTCTTAACAGCAGTTGGTGATAGCAAAACATGGATTGGATATGAAGAAGCAGTGCATTCAATCACATCCTTTCTTCATCAGAATCCAATGATTTCAGATATTCATTTGGATCAATTGAAGTGTTTTTGTAAATATCTTTGGATTCTAAATTCAATCTTTGTGGAATCCTTAGGCCATCTGACATCCATCCCAGAAGATCCAGTTTACATACATGAACAACATGAGATGCAAGAGGAACTATTTGATGTTCTCATCACTATGTTCATTGAAAATGAAGAAAGGCCCAATCATGAAAGCTTCTTGAGAAGAAAAGATCAAAATGAAGAAAAGAGTGGAATACAAGAAGGAATATCTACTATACTACATTTGAGACATATCAATGGAAACAACAAATCCAAAACAGATTATGAATTGAATGGTCCCCCTCAGAAAGATTTGATTATTTTGAAGGAAGCTTTACTATTCATGTCTTATTATTATAAGAAAACCAATGGAACAAAATGGTCAACTTTGTTTGGTAAGGATCAAACAATTTTTGAAATTTTTGGAAGAATTGGGATGAGAAAATTGAACCACAAGTACCATTCCAGATTCATCAGAACCACTCTACCCAAGCTGAAGGCAACCAGGTTGATACCATGGAGATCTTCATTCAGCTTGACACATCTCCAACAAAGTGTGCTCTGCCATCTTTTCAGGAGAAAGGATACATCAAATCATCATCCCATCCAAGCTGATTGATAAGAAATGTTGAAAGCAGTTTGCCCTTACAAAAACAAAATGCCTTCCCTATTTCTCTAGTTTGACTTTTCACATTCCAGTTCCCAACTTCCCACGTCCAATTTCAAGGATGATTGCTTTTGGCCCCCCAGGCTGCAGTACAGCTCACGTCTGCCATCCAAACCCCGCATCTCTGCTCATGAAATGAAGCATATGAATATGACAGTTTGATAATATGCTTTGTATCTCTTTTTCACTTATGCTCAATGGTCACTAACTATTGTTTTCTCATACAATTTGCCTCGTTATTTTGGCAAAAAAAAAATCTCTAAAGAGTCAAATTATAAATCAGAGTGCTGTTTGGTGAAACAACCTGTTCATCTAAAATGTGCCTTCCCTTTGTCAATGCGGCAGGAAATGTGAACACTAATCTGATCAGATTCAACACATCTGAAGATGTTTGGTGACGGTACCATAACAGCCATACAAATATACTGGAGACGTTTCAAAAAGCAATCGATTCATTTTTTGCTTGCATAAAAAGGATGCAAAGAGCTGAAATCCAATTCATCTGTTAAATAAGTAAAGCATTCGACCAGTCATAAGAAAACGAGATTGGCATTTGAATTGAATCATTAATGTAATATTACAAACTCTTCCCCATGATAACACTTGCGTGTTTTTTTCCCTTCAGGAAAGGAAGTTGAATAGAGGTTTTGCAGATGCACACCAGTGAATGAGAATGATTATGTAACACAAGAGTATCTCCTCGAGATATGGAAGAGGTTTGGACTGCCTAAGTGGTTGCGGGTTTGAAGATTCCAGGGATATGTAGTTGACTCGAATCTTGCAGCGCACTACCGGCCGATTTGGTGATATCCTGAATGAGTTTTTCGTGACGGGCGAGTTGAGTAGCCTGGTTTTCGGGTTGAGATTGACTGGACGCAGTTCCTCTGGCAGAGCGATAGATATCGCTCATGAATTCGGCGATCTGCTGTTCTCCGAACTCGATTTCCGCACGAGCGCCCCAATGCCATTCGACCTCTTTATTGCTCTCATTGGGCATTTGCGATTGCCGTCGGATACTCGCTTGAGATGCCCCACCCCGCCCGGTCTTTGAGCCTTGCTGAGTGCATTCGAGGTAACCTTGCTTGTTGAATTGACTCAGAAGCGCTGGGATGGTGAGTGGTGGATGAGCACATGCACGAGTTGAAGGAGGTTGCCAGTTCTCGCCGATTTTGAGCCGTTTAAGGTAGATTAGGAGTTGACCTGCGAGACATGTGACAAGTTAGTACTCAGCATGACATAAATTATCTGCAGAAAAAGGGCGAGTCAGATCTCTGGACGCACTATTATCGATTGACCGTCCATGCATCAGGATCAATGCTAGAATGAATCCCAAGATCCCCAGATGACCAAGTTCATCCCCATGTTTCCAATCCAGGATTGAGTCGTTTGTCAGATTCCAATCGTCTTCATTCGCATCATGATCTGGAATTTCGTCGTCGACAATCTGCGTAAGTTGTTTTATCAAACTGGGCTTCAAGCTAGATCGAAGCACGTATTGTTTCGTTGATGAGCCTGTGATCCGGGGAACGAAGGTTTGGAATAGCCTCATAATTAGCATCATGGATGACAGCCTCACAAGTAGCATCATCCGTTCTGAAATCAGGACACGCAAATATATGCAAGTGGATTCTAATTCATGACTAACCTTTTGTTTTCTGAGATTTGCTTGGAAGGTTATCATCTTCACCATCGTGTAAGGCCTGTGAATTCTTCATGCTTGATTGTTTAATCGCGTTCTGAAGATCAAGTTGGCCGGCATTGTTCCCACGAGATCGCATTTCGACCAGCTCCATCCCAAAAACCGAGGTGAGTTCGATGTTGCATTTTTCCAGTAACTTGTCGAATTGTCGACCTTGGGAACCGAGAAGTCCTTTGAAAGGGAAAAATAAATAGACAAGGGGAGAAAATGAAGATGAAAGGGTAAGCAATAAACAAACTTGATCGCCAAGTTCCGGACACGATGGAATTCATACCTTGTTTGGTAATATCGTCCCTCTTAAATGGTCTCCTTTTCAGCTCGTTAATCAAGGCATATCGTGCCAGGTCTCTGACAGTAGTATCATGAATTGCGCCTTGACTTTCCTGGCATTGAGCAGTCGAAAAAAGAGATACGCAATCGGATAAGTCAGTGTTCAAGAGACCTCTTCAGAACGGGAGAAAGTATCTCACCGCCATAATGTATGCGGTCCTATAGGTTGATGGTGGAGAAGATGTGGTTGCGACTGTGGGTGGGTCTGCTCGGCGGTTCGGCTGGTTCTCGGCCACGCGCAGATCGCGGACCTGGGGCTGCCTGGCCGTGTCTTGGACCCCTGGTGCCCCGGGCCGGCGGTCCATCCATCGGCATTCAAAAGCGGGATGCACATCGGCCTCGGGGACACTTCTTGCCGCGCGGCATTGTGAGTCCCACCGCCACGGGTGACACCAGACCCGTGCACCCAACGTGGAAATTAAGGTTGCTCCCGTCGCACTCTGATTCACCTCCTCGTTCCAATGAGGTGGTGCCGACCAGATTCTCTCTTCACTGGGAAATCCTCGTCATTTCCATGGGGAAAATGACAGAGGATCCACGGGGATCAAGAAGGCTCCCGGCGGGGAACCGAGACACTTCTTGAGATCTCGAGAGGCTCTCAACTGGCCAGCTTCGATTCATTCTCAAAAAAACCTCATCCGTCAAAAGCGCAGCTCACGACGAGACCTCTGTGTCCCGGTTGACCAACAATCACGTCGATTGGGATAATTTGGTGTGGCTTCTGCGGTACGCAGAATCCCATATTTATAATGCTTCGACAACGACGATCACCATCCCTTCTCCGAAGTTAAGCCCGCCAACCACAGGGACCGGAGTGAATCGCCAGGCTTCTAACTATTTAGAATTTTTCTAGAGGTCTTTTTCGGTTTGTGCGAGTGAGCAGAAGCCTGGCAGAGGTAAACTCGAAGCGAAATATAAGCGCATCAACACTTGGGGGCCCCAGCTTGCGCCGATGAACCTCAACTCGAAGAAGGGCTTGTCATCTTCGTCGGTGAAAGCCTTATAAATCTTCGATCATCTGCGTGCCCAGAGCCACACCAAATATCCAATCGACGTGATTGTTGGTCAACCGGACCAGGCTTCGGTCCTTGGGTGGTTCTACTCATTCATCACCGATCCGAGCCAGGACCCGCACGTAACGACGCCGGTTGAGTCTCAGCATCACAATTGGATTTTTTGATGACTTGATTGAGTCGGCGGTGAGGACGTCGGCTGAAGCCAGGGTGACTGGCTACAACCTCCAGATTCCGGAGGATACGATTGATAAAGGCACCATAGAACCTTCTTCTTATGATCTATCTTGTGAGCCCCGACGTTAGCTTATGACTTTCTTGTTTTTATGTACTTCTTGATCTCCAGTGTGGATCTCGTCCGGGTCCTCTTCTAACTTAACAAAGTCCCTCTGACATGGGAGGGGAGCACTGCCGCACCCATCCCCGAAGGGACCTCCCTCCGGTCGGCGCAACGCGACAAGTGGTTCACCACTCCGACCAGGGGGCGGGACCTCTTGTGCGATGCACCGGCGGGCGCGCTCGATTCCGAGGTGACCATCCCGTTGCCTTTTTCTGAACAGCCCGCCCCCTGACGGCCCCCCTCCTGCAAAGCGACGAAACACCGGAGCCGGGCCGGCGGTTTGTCCAAGCGTGACTGTGGGCATGCCGCAATCTCCTCTTTTCTGGCTCTGGGTGAAAGGCTCACATTACTCTCAGACATTTCGATGCGGATTAACCGATTCAAAAGACGTTGAATTTTCCAAAACTGATTTACATGAAATGATGGCGAGACTGGAGAGATAGCTAATGACACTTCGATTACAAGGGAAGGAATGAAAGATGTACAAACAGAAAACCCAGTCTTCTTCGATTGAGAGAATGATGAAAGAAGAAAACAGTCTGGATCTGCTATTCAAAGGTTGATGTACCGAGAACTTAAAGCCGACAACAAATACAATAAGATGGATGATCAAAAAAAAAGAAATTGATCATCGAGGATTTGGTCGGTAGTTATATTACTCGGATTTCCACTTTCAAGCCGGAGGTAAACACAGTGTGAGTGGGTGGGGGGGCCACTATGGCCAGTCAACTGATCTACCAACGACATGAATGTTTCTGAGAGCGATGGTCACTCCTATTTAGACGTGAAGGAGGAAAAATTGGATCGGAAAGAATGCCGGAGATTGGGTTTCAGAACGGGCCATAAGGCAGGTCGGATACGAAGGACGAGCTAGAAGCTGCCATCAACAGTAGTGAAGCAGGCGGCGTGAGACGGCGAGACGGGGGTCGTCTGATCGGAGGCAATCGACGACACACTGTCCCTTGTCCAAATTAGACTCCGCATTTGTTTTACCTTGGTGAATGGAATGGAGGACGGCCTCGAAACTGGGCAGTGGCGAGTGATTGGAGCTCGGAGGGCGAGCACAAAAGGCAAGCTGGGTCGAAGTGACGAGTTGTGGGTCGCAGCTGGAACTGCCGCAGTGACGTGCTACGTTGCCGCACCGCCGCGCCGACATGGCCCTTTTGCAACGCGGCAATCCAATTGAGCAAAAGTGGCAGCACAGACGAACAAAACTGGAATATATATTTTTTTGAATCCAAACAAATGCTTCAAATATGTATTGAAGATGAAACTGTAGAAAATGAGCTCCAAAGAATGATTCTGAAGAGTACATAGGATAGAAAAAAGTTTTGTAAAACTGTTGTAGAATTTTCTTGCTTTTTTTTTACTTTTTTTTGGGTATTTTTCAACCATTTTTCAAAGTGGCTCAAAGAATCAAGACCAACACGATTGTTGTGACTGAAAGAATTGAAGAAAAATGACCAACAGCTGTTTTTAAATAGGTTTGGAATGTGTAATTCACCAGAACAACCCTGCAATCAGACACTGAAACCAAATTTAATTCCAATCCCAGTCCAGTTTCTTCTGCTCTCTAAAACTTGGATCATTATTTTTTCCAACTTTTCATTTATAATCATTCTTTTCACATGTAATTGTGTTGATCCTGATTTTTATTGAGCTATGTACTTTGAAAGATAATTGAAAAATACCAAAAAAAAGTCAAAAAAAAGAGGAAAAATATACACAAAATCTTTACAACACATTTTTCTAATCAACTTCTCAGAATCGTTCTTTGGAACTCATTTCCTACAGTTTCACCAGGAGGCATAAATTTGAGTCCATTGGTTCAAACTCTAGACTCCAATCAAAGGGTTCCATTTTTCTGTCAAGCCTAGCTAAGGGACTGAGTCTGTACATAGACCCAAAGTCAACCTCACCAGCTTGTGGGAACCGACACAAAGCTGAGACACGAGGGAACCAGTTTTTTAGAGTTCCAATGGTTGATGGACAAGACAGAGCTTCACTCTGATATGTAGTTGGGCATGAAACATTCCACTAGGGAGGTTACGCAGAGAATGTCTGCCTCTTCTAGTACTCTACATAAACCCAAGGAAAGGAAAGAAAAACAGTGTGTAGTGTTTTTTTTTTTTTTTTTTTTTTTTTTTTTTTTTGTTTTAGTGCTGATTGTTTTTACATTGCGCACTTAAGTAATACTTCTATTTAGATACATGCGATGACGTTTTTGAACTGATTGTTCGAGAATACTATTTACAATGAATTTTTAATAGTATTTTATTCTTCTAGATTAAAAAATCTGATTGTTGAAGACTGGCGAAATTGAGGCGAAAGAAAAAGAGAAAGAAGATAGACAAAAAACGAAAAAGAAAATGGTTCCGACTCTTTTTTTGGGTCTGAAAATAGGGAAGGCCGAACGAGTTCAACTTTCCATACTCTGTGGACCAGACAGAGTATTTTGTGGTGCCCTAAACCACAAACCCTCGTTTTGGAAGCAGGGAAAAGTCAAACTCGTTCGTCCGACTCTTGTATCCAGCCCAATATCCCTACCGATATTGATGTACCTGTGTGATGAAAAAAAAGTGTGGTGAAGAATGGTGCGCTTAGAAATTGATGACTTTTTTGATGACTTTTAACCAAAGGAATTGATAACTTTTGACCAAAAAAATGATGACTTTTTGACCAAAGAAAATGATAACTTTTAGACCAAAGAAAATGATAACTTTTAACCAAAGAAAGTGAGAGAAAAGGATAATTGAAATTTATTATTATTTTTATTTATTTTTATTTTTATTTTTATTTTTATTTTATTTTATTTTATTTTATTTTATTTTTTTTTTTAATTTTCTTCTTTTTCTAAATAATTTTTTAGATTTTTGAATCTGTGCGTATTGATGATGAATTCTGAGAGGAGTTTGAAACATTTTGGTGTGTCGAGTAAGCTTTTGACTGAATTGACATCGATTTTGATTTTTTTTGTCGTAAGAGAGTTTCTGAATGATTTTCTTTGGAGATTGAATTTTGGACAATAGATTAAGAAGTGTTTGATGTCTTCCGGAGAGTTGCAAAAATCACAATTTGGAGATTCGAGTTTTTTGATGAAAAAGAGATATGTGTTGAGGGCGCAGTGGCCGGAGCGAAGTTGGTAAATGATGGAACTGGCGCTTCTTTCGAGTTGATCTAGAGTTTCGAAGATTTTGATTGGAGTTGTAGACAGACGGATTTTGTTGCGAATGATTGATCTTTTGTTTTTGTTGAATTTGAATCTTGAACGAGCAATCTGTTGGATATTCGATAGTGACCGTTGTTGATTAATAAGATGATTAGGATGTGAAGTGAGAGTAGCAGATTTGGCGAGTTCGTCAACTTTTTCATTTTCAAGAATGCCGATGTGAGCTGGACACCAATGAAGATGGATCGGAATATGACAAGAGTTGATTATTATTTTGAATTTGTTGAAAATGTTGATGAAGTTTGATTGATATGATATAGGAAGAGGAGGATGGGAGATGGAATAGAGAGTGGCTTGGTTATCGACAAAGAAGTTGATTGGTGGAGTGGAGATGGAATCGGAGAGTGATGACAGATGACGATTGATGAAGATGTCCAGGCCGATAATGATGGCTTGAACTTCTGCTTCGAATGCAGATGCTTTGTCTGAACTATTGATGCGGAAAGAAGATTGAATCGAGTTATCAAGAATAGCTGCTGAACCAGTGCCGTTTTCTGGGATGTTTGAGCCGTCGGTGAAGATGAGGTGTTCCGATTTTGATTTTGATTGTTCGATTTGAGATTGGACTATCGATTTGATGTCTTCTTTCTTGGTTTTCAGGTTGGAGATCGGAAGTGAAAAATCTTCCCAGGGGCTGATGATGTGAGGGTGAATAGTTTCGATTGTAGAAAGGTCGTAGCTATTGAGTAAGTGTTTATCGAGGATGTTGTGGATGGGAGAAGGGTGAGTTGGAGGTGAATTTGAAATTTCTGAATCGATGAGTCTTTTGATTGGGTGGGTTGATGGAGCTGTTGATTTTTTTATTAAGTACAGATGATTTTTTCTTTTTAGAATTTCAAAAAAGGGAATTAGTGGGGATTCTCTTTGTAGAACGCTACAGGGAGTGGTCTTAAAAAGGCCCATGACAATTCTGTTGGCTTGATTGTCAATTTTGTCAAAAAGGTTTTTGATGGTAGAGCTTTTTCTTTCAGTAGCCCAGATGGTGCTACCATAAAGGACTCTGGAGCGGAGGACGCTTATGATAAGATTTTTGGATTGGTGAAGACCAATGCCAAAAGAGCATCGTGATATTCTGATAAGTTGGGAAGAGGTTTGATCGGCACATTTTTTAACTTTTTTAATGTGTTCTGTGAAAAGAAGTTTGGGGTCGAAAATGATGCCCAGATATTTTACGGAATAAGATGTTGAAAGGGAAATGTCTCCAAATTTGAAGGGACGGATGTCGACAGAGTTATGAGTGAAAATCATAAATTTAGCTTTTCTTCTGTCGAAGATAGCGTTATGCTTTATTCCCCATTCAAGGGATCGTTTTCCTTCAGATTCAAGTTTTTGGATGGAGGTTTTGAGGTATTTTTCAGCGACGAGGTGAGTGACATCATCAATGAATCCAAGCGAAATAGAACTTTGATTTAATGATAATGGGTTGTTGATGAGAAGCGATGAATTATAGATAATATACAGAATAGGGGAAAGAGGGGATCCTTGTGGGAGGCCACATCTCAAAGAAAATGGGGTCGATAAGTAGTCATCCATTTTGAGGGATGTGGTACGGTTGGAGAGGAAGCTAGAGATTATTGATAAAATGTAAGGAGGAGCATTTTTAATCTTTAGATTGTCAAGAAGTCGTTCTTTGATGACGGTAGGGAAAGCTGATTTAACATCCAAAAATAATGCCGAGAAAATTTTCTTCTCGCGCCATTTTTGACGAATCCAGGAAGTGAGGAAGAGATTAGCATCATCTGTGCTACGGCCTGCTCTTCCGCCGAAGTGACCTTCAGCAAGGGCATGATTATTTTCGGCCCAAAAAGTAATTCTTTTTGTTAGAACACTTTCGAATGTTTTTCCTAAACATGAGAGGAGAGCGATTGGTCGATAAGATCCTGGTAAAGAATATGATTCTTTATCAGCTTTTCGAATGATAGCTGTAGTGGCATGACGCCAGAAAAGGGGAAAATAGCCAATTTTCAAGCAAGAAGAGAATAAATTGATGAGATACGGGATTAAAGATTTCTTACCCCAGATAATGAGTTCATTGGCAATGTCGTCATGACCTCGGGCCTTCTTTTTTGGAAGATTGGAGATGATATTATCAATTTCAGG